CACACAGAGAAAACACCAGGCAATACAATCTTCCGCAAGCAAGCTCTCTACAAAGCATCACTATACACCCCGCAGCTTTAGCACTGCTAGTGCTCATCAGTTTCTTGAATTGACCGGCCTCAGCAAGCCGTGATCCCAGACCACTGCCGGTTCCACCACCAAGGGAGTACGTCATCATTGTGCCCAAATGGCTGCCATAGCACCTGCCAAAACTCATGATTTCTTGGCCAAGGCAAACAGGTGGTCTCACAATGACCAACATTTATCATGTTGGCTGTGAGGATGACACATTGCCCGACACACACCAACCAAACAATACACAAACGCCAAGGGCCACTGGTACTGCACATTGCTGCATGAGATCGGGCACATTTTGATGTACTTTCAACATAGAGGGCTGCAAGCTAAACTCATGTCAGGCACCCCTCCACTTGTCGTCGCGTGCACTGCAGCGCTCTCGCCTTGCTTGACTGTCCACGTCGTGTCATGGCACCACTACTAGCAACATCCTTGAAAAAGGCCGTGACACAGCCTTAACACCAACTTGTATGATCCCTGCTTGTCAAACTTCTTGCAAATGACAATGCTCTGGATTCCCTCGCACCACGCGTCAAGAGTTTCAGGGAGCGGCCCACAAAGGCTCCATGCCCGCAGCCAAGCCTCGCGTTGGTCTGCTCGAAATTGAGAGCCAGGACCCTTGTTTACGATGTGCAGAGATATCGCAGCAAATGTGATTCTCAACAGCCAGCGCCTGTATACAAAACGCATTGGAAGGGAAACTTGAGTAGGCGGTGGAAATCTGAGTGACTCCATTCTTGACTTGTTTGTCATTCCGAAACAGCAAAAAACGACTCGTGCCTTCTGCGCTGTAGCCCAGTGCAAAGTTTCCACCTGTGGGCCAGAATGCCAGGTACATCGCCAAAGACTCCCGCCCACGCTTGCAGGTATTTTGCCTGACTTTCAAATATCATCTATGACATTAAGCATGCCGCTGCACGTATTGCAAAGCGGAAACATGCCACGGAGCCGAATCACGGTGCCATGAGTACGTAGCTTCCTTCTTTCATGCGCGTTGGGGCACTTGTCTCCCTGCATCTAACCCTTGCCCATGCCTCGACCGCTTTGAGCTGTAACCTGTGCACACACAGACACGCACCCGTGCGCTTTGCAGATAGACTATCACTCAATTGCTCGGCAGGGATGAGTGAAGCTTTCTCTACCTGCCATGCATTGAATCGTGCGAGGGCCACATGCAAAACATGAACCGTTGTCTGACAGTGAAGGGGGTTCGCTCGCGTGAAGCAAGCAGTTCTGATCTAGCCACCCCCACCGCTTGTCTAGCAAAGTGGCCTCACCTGGATTAGTGCAGATCTGTTTTTTGGAGGTCACACACAATTTGCTCGAGGACAAACGCTCCTTGCCCCTCCCCTTGTCAACATCATGTGATTCACAACCCAATAGGAACATAAAACACAAATGCACAAGTTACACGCACACACAAAGGAATATGTATATTATACATACATACAAACATTTATTTTACACACTTATTAACATGCACACATTTATGTGTATTGCTTCTCCACCACGATCTCACATCCCCACTCATCATCTAAGAACCCAGCAGCGCAGGTCTGATCAAAAGCATAGCCATCTGGCAGGTGCAACGTCGCACATTCCAAAGGGGGAAGCAGTGAGGCCACGTGCCAGTTTCTTTTAGCCGTGGCTGATACACTGCTGACAGTTTTGAGCTGACTACGGGCCACACTGCCGCCACCATGCAAGCATCAAATTCACCAGACTATGGCATGTGCTGGTGCAAAGTCTCGGTGTGACTCTGGCGAACATTTTGTGGCTCAGATCAGTCAACTTGACAATGTGCGGATTCGATCCTGTCTGCCTTCGAAGGTCTCGAAGATCCCTAAACCATGCTTGTGACATTACGCTTTTGGCCTCCACCGTCCAGAAGTCGTTCCACGACCTCCAAATAAGATCTGCACGTGGACTCTTTTGACACTCCACAGCAATCCCAACACATTGAAGGTCGAGAACACGTGGGTATGCAAGCTGATGCAAAGAAGCCAGAATTGTCCAATCATCCCTTCTATAAGTAAAACAAACATCATGCAACCCTTGTTCTCACTCATGATGCTAACAGATTTGTATGTACGGCTCATCACAGTTCTCCGCCTTCGGCTCAGCATCCACGAGAACTGCCCGAGGGCAGTTCTGGCCGCGAGCAGCAAAGAACTCCTGCGCACTCCACATGCCATCTGCTCAAGCCATGAAGCCAACTCACCTGGCTGCCCCACATCACTTTCCTTCTTCCTTTTCCCCTTGTCTACTTTTCTTGTTGCAAGGAAGTTCCATTTGTTGCGTCAACCCCAACGGCCCGCCAAGATGCGAGCCAAAATTACATGTTTCCGCAAAAGGACACGGGTCAATGAGGTTTCCCCTGCTTTTTGCGTACTTTGGATGGTCCACCCATGTCCTCCCCAAACCAACAGTGCGCCAATTACCAATCACATTGTCAGTGATTCATGCAGAACACAACCCAAACATGCGCTCCGCACAATGGGCTTGTTGTATGATTGCAGGGAATGAGTTGCACATGATGTATACGTTGTACTTCTTTGCATATGAAAATATAAGACCACAACTCGAGAAGACAACATTTGCTAGACTAGCACAACTTGAGAGGAAAATCCTAGCAAAGAGCTCTTAAAGCCAGAAGTAATTCATTATGATAAGCAATCATGTAACACTCAACTCGAAGATATCATGTTGATCAGAATGTGGAACACTCAACTCGAGAGACATGATTATATCTCTTCATCGGAGAGTTCACGAAATAGAGTTCTCTTCATTCAAACAGGACTTCTGCAAGCAAAGGCTACTCCTTTATAAAGCTGTAGACAACATTGCTCCTCGTGATACGACGTGGGACACATTGAATCTGCGTTTTAATCTGTGCAAGTCTAGCTTATTTGATGGATCTAATGGCATGCTCTACTTCGGGATGCCATTATACTACTCTTCTTCGGAAGATGATGCTATTGTAGTGAACCACAAGAGCATCAGCCAGAGATTCACAAGGCAACATTTTCGTTTCTCAGCCTCTTAACTGTGCAACGCCTACACATGTCAGCCGCAATATGATTGAACCCACGTGCTCCGGGTGTGCTGGCCGCTCTTGTGCAAGCACCTCAGAAATTACAAGTCCCTGGCAAAGTAAACCAGCTGCCCGAGGTGCGTGCCGGCCAAAGTGCCTGCGCAGTGCAAGAGCCATACATATATTCTGTCTTCACGCAGTGACTACAATCGCTGAAAAGCGCACGTAACTTGCCACAGGTCTTCTGAATCAATAGCTGCGGACGATTGCCAAAGTTGACATCGCTTGGGTATGGCAAATGGGCATCATCTCCACAAGGACAACAGGGGTGCGGGCTGCACATTGTTTGTCTGCCCAGGAACAGGCACGTAAATTTTGGCAAAGAGCTGGCCAAGAGTCTACTCTCAGGCAGTTGGTCACGTACCCAGAGATTTGAAGCTGTCGGGGCAGAACATACTTTCTCAAGTGCTTGGAGCTGACAATGCCCAACGGATACACAAAAACAGAGATACACATACATATATATATATATATATTATATCTTACTACATAGATATGGTATGTATATTACACACGTTACCGGCAGCCATACACATCTCGGCATCATAAGCATGTGGTACTGTGCGTGGCCTAGAGCGTGCAGGCTACAGCCGTGATCAAGCTGTGGACGTTGTTCAATGACACACTTGCAGAGATCGACAGGGTGATGGCTGATGCTCCTCGACGAGAGGCTTCGAGTCAATGGAATCGCTGCATTGCAAATTCGGCGTTCATTGCTGCAGGTTCGAATACTGCGCAGGATGCTGCTTCTATTAGCTCTTGGCCTTGATACACATTGCTTGGCTTGCCATAAAATTGCCGTGCCTCTGCGATCTGGCAGCCGGCCTGCCCCACATGCAGGAAGACCGTCGACCTTGGTGTGTGTGTGTGTGTTGCAAGCCTTTCTGCCCTATTCAAGGCTGACTTGGCAAGACAGCACTCACGCAAGTCGCTAACAACAATCAGACCCTTGATGGCTATGGCTGCCAGGGCGACAGTGCAAAGGAGTGTTTCAGGTGCATCGATGCGAACCCCTTGGCGCTTCCCCCTACAATGCTTTATCTGCACCATCATTCACAGCTAGCTAGTGTTGACAGCTTGCCCAGCCAGCGAGCATCTAGACTGATTCTGCCAGCAACTCTTTCACCGTCAGCGTCTTGGGGAGTAAGCACAGCGGCAAATCTTGGCGCGCTGCATGTGCTCACCACATGCTGGTCCAGGCTGCAGTCTTTGCCCGGCCACACATGCATGCTGCGTGTTCTGTCACTCCAGACTCCAGCAACCACAGCTTGTTATTGGTGCAAACATCCGTCTGCTGCTTGGGTAGCATGTTGTTCAGAACAAGCCCCGGCATCATGTCTTCCATGTCATGCATGTAGTTTACCTAAGCAGCCTAGGCGTGTCGAACACGGCAAACGTGCAAAGCGGCCTTGAGCATATTGCGGCGTTGAACAATATCCTCACACACACACAAGCTTGCCTTTCACGGGGAATGGATGCCAGCACTACGATCACGGCATTTTAGCTACATGCTTTGCAGCCTTCGTCAGACCAAGCATCAGGCATGATGCCGATAAAAATCGCACATGCAGCTCCATTGCTAACTTGCCTGAACGGTTGACACTGCCTTCATGGCAATGCAGCCAGCAACGGCTGGTCACATGTGCATCGAGCAGGTGAAACCTGTACACCCTAAAACTACAAGTGCCCAGCGCAGGGAGCTTTCTGGCTATTCTCAAACCAGACGGTTCCAGCTGGTGACAGCAGATCAAACTGCTTCAATGAGCTTCAAGGGCAAGCATGTGATGCACAGCTTTGAGTAGCCAATGAATGCCTAACAGCTTGATCGTGCATTTAGACAGTTGATCTGCACAAGCAAAGCCATACAGGAGCCTTCAAATTGCCTGGAGAATTTGCTGGGAATCATCTCATGGCGAGGAATCCAAGGATTATGGCTCAGTGTCTGACCTGTCCTCAGACTCAAGAACTCCCCTCTTCTAGGCTGCTGATTTTGGTGCGTCTTTGTTTTGGTTGGAGTTTTATTTCTTGGCTTCTTTTGATTGGCATTTTGCGCTAAAATAGCGAACCTGCGCAACAGCGTTTGGGTGCACAAGAAAATAATTTCTTCGAACGGGTTGTTGCCTTCAGTCGCTCCGTTGGCAATGCGATAAACCACAATGCTGCGGTTGGTGGCACTGTGCTCCAGCTGCGTTAACCAGCAGAATGTTGTGGAGAACCACGCAACGTCCGTTTTGTTGGCTTGCGTTGCGATAGGACGTGTGTGCCGCGATGAGCTGGCGAAGCCACGCCGCATCTTTCCTCTTCTGGACAGTCGCTCGCCTACCGTTTCTTTGAAATTTGACTTTAACAAGTTTTTGGTGTGCCTTTGCTTTCAGTTGGCAATGTGCCACGTGCTGGTGCCCTTCTCATAGCTGCTCTTGGGCATGTGCAATGTGCGCTTCTCAGATTCGTTGCTCGCTCGCATTGCGCTTCTGATCAAAAACTGGGAGCTGAGCTCAGGGCAGTCAACGCTGTACACTTGCTGCAGAGGCCTGAGAAAGCAGCTGTCCTACTGTGAGCAGCTTCACTTAGAGAGAGGCAAGACATCAAGACACTACCCAACAGCCTCAGTAGTGCGTTTGAGCAGCACTGGACAACACGGATGCAAAGGGCTTCCGGCGACCAACGGATTTCTGAGCAAGCTTGGGTAGCTGGTAGAAGCTTCGAATGGCAACCGTGGTTGAATGCTCTACGGAGATTGAATGCTCTATGGAGGCAGGTAAGCATGCACGAATAGCTTGCGCTGGCAGAACGGCAAAGAAGTGCATGAAGATGATGCCACTCTAGACTACATTTGGATGTTGTTTGGTCATGTACTCGTTCTGTGCATCCAAAGCCCGGGCCAGCAGTCTGCCAGCTTTTATGCCTGCAATTGACAACCTATAAACAGCACAAAAAGAGCTTTGGAGTGATGCATAGTAAGACCCTTCATGCATGTGCTCGTAGTGTGAATCTTCATGTTGTGGCCTCCAATTGAACAAACTTCAATTGCCCCACCCAAGCTAAAGCGGACAGTGTTTAGTTCCTAGTTCAACATACAGAGTCACGTATGTGGATAAGAAGGCCAAACTAACATCTCAAGCAACACTTGCGAACATCCGCACTAGTGGCCGATCAACAATAGCCACATGTGTACTATCGTGCTGTTTGGCACATTGACCTTCTGCCTCGGCATCTTGCAGGGCTGTGTCTCTTGCAGCTCAAGCTGAGCCTCCCTCAAAAATGCGTTTGAAACATATCCCTTGGAGCTGCTTACTGTCCACCCTACGCTCTGGTTTCTGGAGTGAGGCTGATGGACAAATTGCGTAGTCAGAGCCCTGGTGCACCCATCATATCTGCTACGTTGGGGTTTTATCGACGTTTGTTTGAACAACCACCCAAAGTCCATTCAATCCCAAACTGGCCTTGTCTCGTCTGACCAATCCCGACCTTTGATTTACAACTACCCTAGATTAACCAATCCTATGTGATCCGTACAGCCGCCTAGAATTGTGCTTCTCCCGAACAACACAACAGAACACACACACACAAACACACAAAGGGCAAATGTGACCCTCCGTTCCACTCCTGGCAAACTAGACTTTTCCACTTTCTTTTGAACATCCATGCAAACATGAAACAACTATACTGAGGACACACGACAAAATTATGTTTTCTGAAAACGAAGAGCTAACATAGTCTACCCCGCAATACTCAAGAAATACTAAATCAAACAGACATTCAAATGTAGCTTAGACGAGAAGCTCAAGAAAGCGTTTGAACCGTGAAATTACCCGGAACGTTCAAGTAGTGTCGCAACAAAGCTCCAACAAGTGTCTGCTCTTCACACTCCGATGGAAACTCTGAAATTCAGATCCAGGTGTTTTTGGGTGGAGCCTCGGAGAGTCAGAGAGAGGTGGAAGCGATTGGGCCACCGCGCTGGGCGCCGTGGCCTCGCCCCCGCGCGCGCGGCTGACTCGCTGGCCTTCCCGTTCGGATCAATCGCGGGGGACGGGGACGGAGACAAAGACGAAAGGGGGTTTCTGAGCTTGGCCAACCGGAAGCACTAAGTGGAATTGGGAACTTCTGGTGAGATTGACAGCCCTTCCCATAAATGGGGGGGCCACATTGATGTGTGGGGCATACGCTTATGGCTCAGGGAGCCCGGCAAACCAAGCCAACTCAGCAAAATAGTTCTCTCGTTCCCAGCCATCGCAGCCATCATAGCAAACAATTCTGGCCTGAGGCAGCCATTCAGGCAAGTTTAGGAGAGGGTGGTTGTTTGTCATGAAACGGCGGTTGACTGAAATTCCTTGTCCCCCAAAGCGCCAACTTCGCGGAACAAACTCCATCGCGGAGCTTTCGAGGGGCATTTTCACAGCACACGAAGTACACTTGTGCAGTTCCGGCTCGAAAGTCGCAGTCTCTTCCCTAAAAGCTCGCCTCAAGCGATGGCACGTCCGAGAACAGCCCGCAAGCTCCAGCGCCAGACCTTGCCGAAGCTTCCGCGAGACAGGCATTTCGACAACATCAAATCAGGCTATGGCCTTTGATAATGATTGAGCGTATTCTAATGCGGCTCTTTTTTCTAACTGCGAATGGCAGGTTGGCCATGCCTGCAAGAACTGTGCTAGCCTTTGCTCGAATGACAGAACGTGCAGGCATCCAACTTTTCAAGTCTCGAGCAAGCTTCCAGTTTCTGAAGCTGAGCCCCGAAAGAGGTCCAGCGGTTTAGAAACCATGCCTTCCTTCCCCGGCTTCCCTCAATTGGGGCTCCATGCGCACGGTTGCGCCGGCTTGCAAGATGCCGAGGAGCACCCCGCCGGCCGCCGCCCCTTGTGTCGCACATGCACGTGAACGGACCGTTTCTAACTTAGTGCTAAGGGTCTGATTCGCGGCAGCTTTGAGCCGCACTACCTTGTCCTTCCTAGACGTTTTTCCCTGACCCAAGCAAGGCCAAGCAACCGCGTGGCAGCAAAGGCAAGGCCCTTCTCTTTGATTAGCGCCAAAACGATCGTGGCTGAAGCTAGGCTCTGGCACCGACAGTGTCGCCACGGCTCGCCCTGGCTGTTGCGGTTCTCCCTGGCGCAGATTCACATGGCACGTCAGAAGGAGGCCTGGGGGCTTGCTGAATTCGGCCCATGCCATTTTGAAGTAGCTCTTGAACAAGCATGTCATTGTGGCAGCAGGGACGCTACCCTGCGCAGGAAAAAACACCACAAGGGACCCAACTCAAGAAGCGCTGGACAATAAGTGTAGCTCACATGTTTGCCCCTGAACAGTTCTTGGTTTCACCTCAAGCTTTTGCCTCGCGCACTCCGCACACTTCAACACGCGCAGTCAAGAGCAAATTGCAACCTGCGCGCGTCCCCCTCGCCTCAACTTCTGCTCTGCATTGCGACGCTTCTCTGGCCCGTCACAAGCCAGCTGAGCCTGCTGACTGAGCTTTGCAGGGAATTTCAGCAAGTGCACGTGCGTGGCATCAGCTGCGAGCTGCTAGTTCAATGCACAGCGAGCCTTAATTTTTGAAAGCGAAAAAGACATTGTGAATGAAGCAGCCCCATTACCAGACTTGCCCTAAGAGGTGAGCTTGCCTAGCGACTCTCGTGTTCAAGCGTTGACATGCGTTGACCTCTTGACGCTGAAAGTCGATATGCGGGTGGCAAGGCCAAACTTCCAAACTTCCCTTTGGGCCTCTTGTGCAGCGGCTTCGAGCGCGGCGGCCTCCAAGCGCGCCTCATTGCAAACATCGATGAACAAAATGGATGTCACGTGTAGCCGTGTAGCCTATCAGCATCTTTACACTCAAAGCAGGCTTTTGTCTCCTGAAGGTCAAAAGAACGAGGGCTACATTGTGACGAAGAATCCTTGGAACAGTACTACTACCAAGAATGTTGGACATTCTTACACGGCTGGAAGATCGCCATGAAATGCTTTGACTTTCAGGACTGCATGTGCGTTACTGTAGTAGGTTTGTCCATCTCAATGTTGGTCGTGGATATTCTCCACGGCCAACATTGAGAAGCTTGAGCACAATCGCAGACTCGCCAGGCAGTTGCAGCCATCATAAAGAGCCGGATAGGCTCATCGCAAATGTCTGCATCTCGTTTGGTGCCTCAGTCAGCTCCTGTCAAGCAAGTGTAAAACTTGGCAAGCACCTTTGGTGCTTCCGCATTTGTTTTGCAAGGCTTGTGCTTGCTGCCATGCTGGCAGCGCAGGCCAGCTTTTTATTTTGGTCCCAGGCAGGCCAACTTTTTCCCCAAATAGCTGAAAGCTACAGGGGATCTAACTTCTAGTAAAGCGGGGAAAGTGATTTGCGAGATTGAGGCCTGGGTGCTCGAGGGCGTGCAGTTGGGGTGCTGGCGCAAATGCTGTTGGGGTGTGCTGTTTGGGGTCTGTTCGTGGTGCTTGTGACGGTGCGGGCGCTTTTTTGCAAGATTGATGGCAGGGTGAGTGCGTGCAGTCTTGGCGTGCGGTTTGGGGTGTGCTGGTGACGGTGCGGGCGCCGTTTTGGGGGGCTGGCGTTTTGCAATCTGGGGTCTATGCTGTTTGCAATTGGGTATGCCCATTCTTGGTTGAGGTGGTTGTCACACTCTGCCACGGGAGCCGATGTGTTGCTTTGTTTTCTCATTCACTGCTTGCAGTGATTTGGAGTCTTGGATGGCTGGTGGAAAGTGGCTTTCCTGCAGTCTGTAAACTGCTGGCATGAACCACTGGCGCGTTGGCTCCATAAGGTTTAGCGCGAGTCCCTCAAGTACTGACATTGGCCCCTCCATCTCTCCCACACATACAACACTGTGCAAACGTGGGAAACTTTACACAATTGTCTGTGACAACGTGACATCCACTAGAATGCAAACGCGTTCACACACAAGCGCTCTTCCGCAGTGTTTTTGTAATCACTAAGCCACTGTGAAGCTTCCTACATGCAGCCGAGCAGCACCGGCTTCTCTAAAGAGCACCTCCTTTGGACCCAAGTTCATCTCAAGCCTTGCCAGAGTCAGAATCAAACAGGACAGCCTTTGGTTTTCAACACGTGATTTGTCCCCCACTTCGCTTTTGCATACCGAGTGACCCAACTTTGGACGGGCGCATTGAGACCCCGGCCACTCGATGGGCTGATTCCCGGAGATTTCCACGAAGCTTCGGGGCACCGTCAACCTGCTTGAGGCACTGAACACCTCTGACAAAGGCCCTAGTCCTAGTCTTCTGAGTCGACCGCCCCACCATCCAGCCAGAACTGGGCACGGGCAAATTGCAACTGGCTTCACTCAGGAACAAGAGCATGAAACAGTTCATACAGTGACTTCACAAGATTCGTGCATCATCCTGTGCCTGCAATCATTATTGTTTTGAGTAAAATGCCCTTCATGTGGCACGATGTATCATGCACAAGGCAGTGCATCTGAAGAGATACAGTACCGCACAAACGGCGGGAACCAGCCAGGACTACTGCCAAACACGAGTTCATTCAGCAACTGCAGGTCACAATTCAAGAGGTGTTCGGCGGAGAATAGTTTTAAGAAGTATGGTAGTTGCGACATGCAACCACACTACATTCACTACATACTGAGCTAGTGTCCTCTTGGAAGATCTTGCGCCTTGGCAATTGGACGTGGTCCAGCGTTGGGTAGGCACATGAAGGGCAACACTGAAAAGACGTGACAAAGCGACAAAGCCTCAAGTCACCCCAAGTGAAAAGATAATGCATTGCCAACAGCGGTGAATTTTGAGGCGCATGCTGCTTCGTCCGGACGTCCTGGTCCTGGTTGTGCCTGGCCAGCACAGCCAATCCACTGGTATGACTCTGTGCCATCAAGTATCATATCATCTGGATGATTTGTGTGTAAAGCACCCCATCTTCCAGTTTTCCTGTTTTGCAAAACTATATGACATGCTGCTGCATGAGCTGTCACAGGCCTGCTGATGAAGGTCTTGCCGAACGTTTTGCAGAGGATGGCCTGCTGCCAAGACTTGGAGACAAATTGTGTACATTGTGCGCCCATGCTCATGAACCTGGCCTAAGCGAAACTGCCCCACCTGTACGCGCCTGCTCTACTGGCATTCTTGCTGGGACACAAGCTTTTCATTTCAATGCTGCTAGCCGCTTGCCGCACTTCACTGGCTAGAAAGTTGAAGATGCCACCTCATGCCAACAATAACCACTCTTTCAGCCGACTGAGACAAAACTCGGTGATCATGCAGAGCCAGCCCTGCTTCTTAAAAGCTGGATACGCACGGTCCAGGGCAAACATGCAGTGGCGACTTTGGCATTCTGACAGCAAATTCTGGTTGGCTCGCTGCAAGAGCAAACAGTAGATATAGTCATCACAGTGAAGATGCACAAATCCCTCGTCCAGCCTTGACTGTGGCAACGGCGTGCGTGGGAGCTCGCTCTCTTTGAGAGGCGGCTCCTGACTTCTATTCTCTGAAAGCGTGAGCCGTAGGTCACGACTGGATCTCTCCTCTTTGAACAAACTTTGCATGGTAGGTCACAGCAGGAAATCTCAACAAGTCAACCTATAACGGTTTGGATTAAGGTACTGTAAGCAAGCCACCAGGAGGTCCACCGCGCTTGTCACGATCACGAGCGAGTTGCCCCCCCCCCCCCCACCAGTCTTGCCACCATTCCCATCTGTTCATTTGAGTCTATTAATGCTGCAGCTCCAAACACCACCGTATTTGTCTGCGTGTTTGACTCGAATCAGTCTTTGACCTTGCCATGGCGCCCCTCCTTCCCGTAGCGCGCAGCCGCCGCCGCTGCTGCCACTGCCTCAGCTACTCTATTGCCACCACGTCAGAACACACGGGGAAAATAGCAACATGTCCAATTTGACTTGACTTGCAAAGCGCGCATCGGTCCGGAAATCTGTGCTGTTCAGTGCTTCCGTAGATTCCTCCTTCATCACTTGAGGCTGCTTTTTCTTTTTTCCCGGGGGGCCAGGATCCTATATGTTGCTGCATTTTGCTTTCAGCATGTGTTGGGTTTGGGGTGGGTGCTTGGTTTAGGGATTTGTTCTAGGAGACACCTTGATGTGTCACCGTATGCCTTGCTTCATTTAGCTGATTCAGGTGCCGCAACTCACATACACTGTGAGAAACATACACATGACACGCTGCATCTTCTTTGCAACACCCATCGAAGTTCACCACTCCCAACCCCCAACCCCCAGCAGCAAACGCATCATGCCTGCAACCTTAACAGAATAAATATTGAGCACCGCCCCTGCACGACCCTCTCCCACATTTGCGCGCCGAACTAGCTAACACCACTTACCTGCTCCACCACCACCACCACAACCAACAAACCGCAACAGCAGCAACAGCAGTAGCCAAACCACCAGAAGCCAAACCAGCACCAGCAATCAGCCACACATGGCAAAGTGCTATGATTGTGGCCAAAGTCCAGACTGTCTGACCAAATGCTAAATGTCGTTCTCAGCACATTAGCAACCATAGTGCCGGAATAGGTCATCAAACACCAACGTGCAGGCAAAAGCGATGGCTGCGAAACACGTGCAACCAAAAAACAAAATCATTCAGCTGCAAAGCAGCCTCTATAACGCAAATGGTGTCTAGAATGCCAAACGGTTTAAACAGCAGCTCACTCCAAAACTACAAACACAACAATTGTGCACATCGTGCAATACATGTTCAAGTGAACTTCCCTGCAGGCAAGTGGCTCTGTCTCGCGCATTGAGATTCAACACTGGGCGCATTGGTCAGGCCAGGCACAGCGTTGTCTCTTAACCACGTATGTTGGGAAGGGAACAGCTTGTTGCCTTTGGCCAGGCCCGTTTGATAGCCTGCTGAGTTAGCATGCAGCACCAAGTCTTCTGTTTCTGCATGATCTGCCACAGTCGACTTAGGCACACCGGCTCATCCCATACCAAAACATGTGACTTGGGCCTCAGAAGCGTTGAGCAAGCAAGGAATTGGTGAAACATTGACCTTGCAGTGAGATTCACTGCAGGTGGGCATTTCAGATGAACATATTAGTGCTAAAGCGCGCTCCCTTTTGCCACCAACTTTGATTTCATGCACCACTGCGCTGCAAACAGCCACCTCGCCAATCAGGTTTCTCTAAGCTGACAGCCTGCCATGAACTACAAAGCTGACTTGTGCAGCAAGCTCTGAAAATTATTCGGACAGGGGGTGAGACATTGCTCTGTGCTCAGTGTGCTCGCGGACCACAAGGGCGCAGCGCTTTAGAGAAAACAAAGTCACCCATTCGCATCGTCCTCTATTGTTCGTTTACTCCCGGACATCGCTGAGCAGCTTTCCTTCGGCCAGGATCAAAACCTGAGGCTTAAGCTGCAGCTCTGGTCCAGCTCTGCAAGCTCGAGATCCCCTGTCTCGCTTTTGTACATAGGCACTCGCTGGACATCTTTGCGTCATTCACAAAGACACAGCGCGAAGAACGCACAGTCTTCAGTAAAATGAAGTGCTACAATCTCTCAGCGCTACATCACCGTCATCATCGCTGGGCCTGCCAAATGAGTTCGGGGGGAAGTTGGAGCAGGTGCATGTGTTGTACTTGTGGTAAATGCTGGGTGCGATATGGTGAGTGGTGTGTCCTCTTCATCATGCCTCACCACGACTCACCCTCTCCGCAGGACGGAGTCTTCAATTGCCGATAGTTCACTCGGCACCTTCTGCTGGTCATCCTTTAGAGCATGTAGCAGCATGCACGCAAACATGGGTTTCCGACCCGGTCTAGCGGGATCCAAGGCTATCAGCAACTGCCTTGCTTATTAGCAAAGGAATAGACTGGACTTCGTGTTGAAATGCCGGACTGCTATTGCTGCGAGTCTGGCCCGCGCCTCTGCAACTGCTGGCATCCAGCTTCGCCAATTTCTTGCCAGCTCATGCCGAGGTCCTGACATTCACTTCCCATTCCCTTGAAGCCTTACCATCTACACATGAATTGTCCACAATGCTTGGCGGTGACTAACACAAGGGTGGGTTAGCGGAATACAGAACGATCCTGTTTGTTTCTGGAAAAGGGACAGGGTGAGACAGAACGTACTGTTTGCTTCAGATTCGAAACAAACAAACACATGACTGCCTTTCATGCAAGGAACATCACAACAGACTGGTTCAAAGAGTATTTAATTTGGGGTGTCGTTGTACCCCCCAGAGTAATTTGGGTTCTTCTGAATCTTGCTTGGGCAAAACGGAGTGGCACTACATCAGGTTAAAATACTTGTGTCGAAGCTGCACATCACAATTATTTGCAAAAACCTTTCCGCTCAGCAAAGTGTAAACTTCGCCCCGCACGCAGAACAGAAAGTAGTTGATGCGCTCAACGCTTTCCCGAAGGCCAAAAGCAAGGTCGCTTCAACAACTGTAAATTGCACATCGCAACACCTATCATCACTACATGCTAGGTCAACAACAATGGCAACACATTTTGTGCCAAGTTATCCCTTCAAGAAGCCTTCAGGCTATGGCTGAAGTGACGCATGTGGCCAATGCCTGAGGGTTCGGATGCTTCATCAACTCGCGCTCCAATCACTGCTCTCCAAGCTGGCAGGTCCTTCATGGTGCGCTGCAGGTGGGGTAGCACCTGCCCAAAGACTTGCGGATTGAGAGTTGTAAGCAAGCCCAAGCTGTCAAGCAATGCCCTGCCAAGTTTTGCCTCTGCAACCTGAGCATTTTGTGACTTGCCTAGACACCTATCATTCGGCTTCCTGGTGGATGCCATTCCAAATTGCCTTTTGCGATGATCCGCTCAAAGGCGCACGCTGACACCTTCCCATTTGGCCAGTGCACGTTGGATCACAAACAAGGCATGATCGCTGACAAGTTCGTCACGTGGCGTTGGGCGAGCTGAGAAGCAGTACCCATTTTCAGAATCCTGCATTAAGGCCACTGGAAATTTAAGCATAGACCAAAAACAGCCGCAAACCATCAAATCAAGGGCCCAAATCGATGGCCATGCCTCGCTGGCAGGCACGTGTAGACTGAACTCCAGCCACACGAAAACCTGCCAATATCGCGAGATATCGCGAGCATACCTATTGATGAAGAGCAACTCTGATGGTCGTAGCCGTTTCAACAATCACCAGCTTTCGGCACGCTGGCATGGCAGTGAAGGCCACACGACCGGATGGCATTGCATGACTGAAGAGAACTGAATTCCGCAGCTGTTAGGTCAACAGGCAGCAGGCAGCAATGCTGCTCGCAAACAATTGTAGGGGGTCAACGACATCATGAGCACTGTGTCGGATCATTTTTGGCACGAAGCTAAGCATAGGTTGATTCATTCGCATTTGTGTGATCGGCCCGCTTTGAACTCAGCGCTGATCATGTCCACCTAGAGCTGCAAGCTGCAAGCCGACCTGTACCAGCATTACCCTAGCTAGTTGGCAGAGATGTATCCAGCCCTTCCGGCATCATTGGCTGCGAGTTGTGCCGAACAAGTTGGGGTGTCGGGCCAGCATTTCAATGAGTTTCAGCTTGCAATTTACACCTCAGTTTTACTTCCAAACCATTGCCGGCAGTGGCCTTGGACTCAAGTTTGAACATCCCGAATCTCAGGCATGATCCACGTGTCCCGGGGCTAGACGTCGGCAGCAGGTTTCGGGATGTTGCGCTTTGCATTTAGGAGCTATCATCCCACTTGTCCAGGAGCTGTTTTTGGGAAGGAGGGCGTTTGGCCAATGCAAGGCGCCCTATTATCGGATTTTCTCTCATGCACTCTCTCACTCCCTCCGAGCCTTCAATTCTGCTTCATGGAGGTCTTCCCACTGCAAACGGTCCTTCAAACAGGGAGTCGCGTTGCCATGACACAAGCACTGCATGTTGTTAGCTGCACATCCACCGAGGCCTTGGACCGGAGGCGCCTAGATCACCTCTGACCCCAAAACCTGACTTGCATCAAACAAACATCAACAACATGGAAATCAAGTCTGCACTTCGGAGCTTTGATGGCTTCGCCACGCTTTTGGGACACAATTATGCCGAGTATGGACTTGTTGGCCTGCTCTGCTGTTCAGCTGCTGCACAAAATCCGAGTTGCTACTTCACCTTGACAAAGGGGAGCGAGTTGCCATCTTCCAAAGTTCCCAGGCGTTCCCAGGGTTGCGCACCCAATGGGTCCAACACCATGACTTCATATACGAAGAGCCCAGCTCCAGGCTCACTTTGGGGGCTCAAATATCAGCAAGGCAATTGAGCGCTGCACCGGCCTAGAATGCGAGCTCGGAACATGGCATAATTATAATTTGGAGGTGAGCATCAAGCTATACAACTGCTTGGAACCATGTAAGAGGAATAGTGCGCCCTCAAATACAGTCACACGCTAACAAAAACATGTTGGTGGTTTTGGGCAGTCTTCACTAGCAGCTGGAAGAGATTGGTGCAAGGCCGGTCTTGGCCGGGTGGCAGCGGAACTACGTGGCCGAAAACTGTGCTTGTTAGTGGGGGGATTGCCTCAAAAAGCAAACAGCCCAGAACCAAACCGTGTGCGAGTGCTGCCACCACCAGCGAGTGGATTTAAACGGATCAACCTGAACCTGGGAAGCTCGGATCTCTCCTTGCGGTCCATCTTGCGTATCTCTGCTGCCAGCTTCCTGGATGCGTTAAAGCAAACAACGGCGCTTCCGAGCTCCCTGACCTGCCCGCACGATTGGATGCATGACTTTGCACCTTCCTGCTTCTTCCTTTTACTCTTGCACCTGCAAAAAGCTCCGTCCTGATCTTGTCTCGGTCACCTCGCTGGTGAAACCTGGGCTCCCATGGGGCTCCGGAAGATGGGATGGGACTCATTCAAGGACTCCGGTTTCACTAACACATGCGAAGTGAGATTGAGCTGGCTGCTCCAAGTTGACCGCTGTGCGTTTCCGCGGGATGCTTCAGCGTCGCGTTACAAGGGGCGTTAAAACGACTGGAGGTCTCCGCCAAATTCTACCTCTGGTGCGCTCATTCTTAACAGCAAGGCGCTTGTATGCCAGCACCAGGCATGCTCCTGCCAGTAGCTTCCGGCTTGCCTCAGGAAAGCAAATCAAGGCGCCGTTGTTCACGTGCCAAAATCTTTGTAGAGCGAGGTGTCCGTCTTTGCGGAGCACATCTTGCGAAACATCTTTTTCTCTGGGCATGAATGAGTGGGTACTCTGCTCAAGCTAATCCGTTCCCTGGTTAATAACTGCGATCACCAGTCAAACTAGAATTAGGCCAATACAATGCAAAGGCAATACTAAGCCAGGGAATTCCCCGCCTGACGCACATCCTTCTGAACACTTCCCTTCACACTCAGGTCGCACCACCATTCTAGGCACTTCTTTTTCCTTCACCCACAAAGTGTTGCGTCTATGTGCGTGTGTGTGCGCGACGCGGGTCTAATTAAGGTCCGAATGCGATCCAACAAGCCAGCCTGTCATACACCCCTCCAAAAGGAAAATCACACTCTGCAAGTTGCCCTGGGTGCTGTGAGGGGCAGCCACGCCACTCCTGCGCAACCCATGGTGCAGAAGGGGCATGCACAACAGTCTTGCCCAATGTGGAAAGCAACGCCACGATCCACCATGTAGACGTCACAGCCTCAACAAAAAGCACGGCTTTCACGTTTCAGCTTTTGGACCTGATTCTGCCATTTGTCAGTTGAAGGCACGACTTAGGAGGCTACCTGGGCTCGCCCATAGCCTGGTAGCGGCAATCCTTTCGCAGCCCCATCAATAGCTGGATTCGTTTCAATGTTGGCTGCTTGAACAGCTCCTCAAGCCACCGGCCCGGAGCGCACGCGGCCCAAATCCATTCTCCACTTGCCTCCAGCTCCCTTGAAGCGAGCCCTGGCCCCAACCCCTCACTCTTGGACCGGCTCTACAGCCCCAGCTCACTGCCAGGGCTCCCAAACGCATTCCTTCACGTTTTGGCCCCCAGCCCCACCCCCAAACCCCGCCCGACCCAGAGCCGGTGTGTCGCGCGGCCCAAATCCACACTCCAGCTGCCTCCAGCTTTGATGCCGTGAGATGCAGCGCAAGTCTCCATAGGCTGACTATTTCATGCGCGCGCACTGCTATGCAGCACCATTTTATTTTTGCATTTCAGCCGCTCTGATGCCAAAATGCCACCACTTCAGGCCAACCCAAAACCAAACGAATCCAACTGATACTGGCCGAGGTAGGCAGCGCGAAGCATTTACAATTCGCTTGCACTGCTGTGAGGTACTTCCGTGTCGCGCTGTTTCTTGTTGATTGAAGGAACGCCATGGGCTTGTGTACATCAAGAGCTAGTTTGTCAACATAGTAAAATGCTAAGATCCCCAGAGCAGGGGTTCAGGGTTCACCATGGCCTGTGCCAAACGAAAAACGGACAGGGAGAGCAATGCTTGCAAGTAGTGCGAGCAAAGATGCCTTGCGGACATAGTCTTTCAGAACGAGCTTCTCAAAGTACACCCACCTTTGCGACAAGAGCTTGCCGCTCGCAGCCCTCTTTTCCGGCTGTTCAGCATAGCTTGCTTACATGTATCTCTCGCCCCCCAGCTTCAGGTGAGGTGAGCAAATAGGCCGCTTGGATTAAAATAGTCTGGACTCGGCTGTCAAATAGTTGTCTTGGGCCCAGGCGCCAGGGCCACAGAGCAAACGTCAAGCTCAGGCATCGTCTGCGTGATCTCTCTGAGATCCTGGCAAAAGAAACCGTGCCTTTGAAAGCCTTTGTTCCCAGGATTCTTGGCATCAATCTCTGCTTGAAGGAAATTGACAATCTTGTCGTTTGCAGGAAGTCCATTTCTACAGCTTCAGTGTCCAGCAGCGAACCAGCAAAGCATGTGCGCCTATCTTCAACCAGAGCAAAACGCCAAACCATGTTGCCAAATTTGTACGAGGTCGTGCTCTCCAAAGTCCATTCAGATTGATTCAGCCTCCTTTCTTGTGGGCTGGCCTTCTGCAAATTGCGCAGCTTGGAGAGAGTCAACGATGGATGGACTTGTGGATGGCCTAGGATGCAGCAGCGCACATTCCAAAATTACTACGAGGTTCACAGCAAGAAACATGGCAACATCTGGGCGTGTGTCAAACATCCTGGTCAAAGAATGATACTCTCCACAAGCCATGCCGTGATTCAACAAGCCAGACTTCCATATCAAAGTCGAAACCATTCTGAAGCCTAACATGCAATTGAAACACATTGACTGCCACAAAACTCTGGATGTAAACCATACTGCCAACAAGCATCGCTCCATACTTCACTTCACACTTAAACAAATATCAAAGTCAACCAATTGCTCGCCAATCCCAGTAGCACTAAAGTTCGAACACACATGCCACGCCCTGGTTGTTTTGTTCGCTCGCATTTCATACCGGACTCACATCTCACAATTTCACCAAATCACGGACACGTTCTAAGCTTTGGTTGCAAAGTATCAGCTGCGGCAGTTATCTGTCGTTTTGTACCGAATTCAGTGTGTTGCCCCAAAAGTGTGTCCGGCCGTTACTGCAGTATTCTGTACATAATTTACAGGCAGTCACCCATCTGAATCTTGAGTGCGGCAAGCAAACGAAATCTGACAACGGGAAAAGAAATGGCGACTCTTTCCAAGGCACTGCAGCGGAACTGGTCATTGAGCTCATCCTTGAGGCGGCGAGCTCGTACAAAGGGGATGATGGAGACCTCCGGAGAGATTTCACCGCTGTGCTTAGACGCTGGAAAAACGACTGCTGCCTAACGGCTTTCAACAGAACCAATGTGCTGCTCTGCTAGCTTGTTCTTGTGCCAAAGTAGACAACCTCAACCTGCGAGGCGACGTTTCAGCTCCACCGCTCCACCCCACCGCCCCACCCACCCCCAACCCACCGCTCCACCCACCCCCCCCCCCCCCACACCCCCACCCCCCCCCAACCCCCACCCACCCGCTCACCCACCCCCCCCACCCCCCACCCACACCCACCCCCCACACCCCACCCCCCCACACCCACCCCCCCACACCCACCCCCCCACACCCCCCCACACCCACCCCCCACACCCCCACACCCCCACACCCCCCACACCCCCCCACACCCCCCACACCCCCACACCCCCACACCCCCACACCCCCACACCCCCACACCCCCACACCCCCACACCCCCACACCCCCACACCCCCACACCCCCACACCCCCACCCCCACACCCCCACACCCCCACACCCCCACACCCCCACACCCCCACACCCCCACACCCCCACACACCCCCACACACCCACACACCCACACACCCCACACACCCACACACCACACACCCACACACCCACACACCCACACACCCACACAGCAATAGTCTTCTGAGTGGATCGCGTTGGATCGTTTCGGACCCTCTTTCCTCGGCCTGGTAGCCCTCCAGTCGGAGCACCGTGTGGTTCTTGCCCTGCCTGTGGCTCAAGTCTGCGACTCAAACATTCATGAAATCCTGTGCCATGATGTGCTTGCAGTGATCTCCCATGCAGGTTGTGAATCTAGAGAGATAATGCTGCGAATTCCATGGACAATGCATCTGCCTCAACAACAACCCTGTTTTGTGCTCTTCTGGACTGGGATTTGTGATGGAGCCTCAGGCTCTGGTCGTCCAGGAAGTCTGGATCATAGGTTCCGCCTTCGCAGTGGCTAGCAAGCCGAGAAAGTACATACAGTAGTTGATTCGCACATGCCATCACAAATGAGGAAAGTGCCGAGGTTGCGTGCCTACACTTGGAACCAGAAACTTTGCATACCTGAGTGCAAACAGCTCAGCTGCGCTGCGGCTTGCATTCTCGCACATTTCGCGTCTCCCCTTGATTGACGTGTGTCAACTTTTTGGGGGAAAACACGAGATGCTACCTTCAAGGCCGTGAGGAAGCACACTTGTCCAAAAACATCCTTTGCTGAGGCGCTGATACATGGTCAGTCTGGCATCAAAGCACTGCAAGTCTGCAAGTCTGGCAACACTGTGCGGTATGATATCAGGCTCCATCTCTTGGCTAGTGCTTCATGCAGCATAGAATTCAACGCGCCATGCTTTGTGTACAGCTGACAGCTGCCTGCGTTGCCGAACCAGTTGGCACTGGGCTCCTCACGACGTGCCCTTTACCTGCTCCACTCGTGTGCTCCTCCGCCCCCAGGATAGCCACCTGACCCAAGCAGAACATGGACTGCCTCTCTTGACATTCTCAGGCTCCTGCCGCCTGCTACTCCGTGCCAGCAAAGGCCTCGAGGCCAGGACAATAGTTGCAGAGACACAGAATAGCGCCACTCATTTGCAGTATGTAATGTCCTCATCGCTGATTTTGGCAAAAGTCCGGAAATCCGGGAAGAGCGAGAAAATCAAGCTCGTTCCCGGATTTTCCGGAAAACCGTGTTCTCATCTCATTGTGGTATTCTGAGCAACTTCCTTAAAGCTTGCACCTGTTTGGCAAGTCTAAATATGTGACGAATCTTTCAAGGTCCAGGGTGTGGCTCCCTGAGACATGGGCAGCTTGACCTCAGGCATGTCCAGGGTGTGGCCAGAGTACCTATCAACATCTTTGAGTGGCATGCAAGCCAAGTCAGTACCAACAAAAGATTCAGGTTTATGTTCTACCTCCCGTTTTGCGAGACCGCACATGACATGCTGTGCCGGCGCACGACGTATCTCCCAGTTGAGTGCTGGAGATGTAAGTGCAGGTCTGCCTGTAAACGCCACCCGAGGATTCCTTTCTTGGTGAGCCTCTGCATGGCAAAACAAAGTTGTTTGGTTGCAGGAGCTGGCTGGTTCCCTTCGGCATAAGCAATGAGGTGTCCTAGGATGAAGGACTCACTTCTTGCAGCCTACGTGAGCCAAAACCTGAAAACATCAGCACAAGTGGCAGGTTTAGATTCATTCGAATCCCTGAAATCTCCTGCCTTGTTGTGATGTCCACCCGGCCTCCTGGCGATCGTGTTGGTGAGGCACGCTCACAAGCGTACAGCTCTGCTGATTGTTTGTCAAGACATCCTTGCCAACGCCGTCTGCTTCTGTAAGTGAACGGTAAGGTTTGCACAGTTGATCCCTTGTCACTGTGCCCCCACGCCTACGACTCCCTTCTTGACCAGCACAGGCATCAGGCGCTGCAAATCTGCATGGCTCCTGGCAGAATAGCTTCGCGTGCTATGGGTGGACTGTAGCTTGGGACATCAACCACAAGCTCAAATGTAAGTGTTCACAGCATCTCCCAAAATACAATGCCTGAAGTTGCATCCACACCAATGTTCAAGAACGATTGTTACATCATATACGACATGGATTTCTGGGTGTAGAATGGGGAAACCAGGTCTAGAATAGCGCATCTCTCAGCGGGCCCAGTTCCATTCAATTTTGTCTTCCCACCATTTCCTTTCACATCAGTACTCAGTGCTGGCGCATGCTGGCGCACCTCAAGCTGCAAGGCTTTGCGGTCACAACTCTCTCCTCCAGCCACCAATTACTGTCTTGCTGCACTTGGCCCCTGAGGCCTGCAACCTTGGCTCGAGGAATTGAAGGGGTTTTGCGAGTGGCGCTCAGCTTGTCCACAGTTCAACCCACTTTCAACCAAAACGGGCAAGCTCTCCTGGCAGTTGTTGGGATGGCAAAACGAGATGGACGGCTTCCATGATTTGTGCTTGTCTCCAAGACGGAGCTAAGACAACGCCTCACCCATTCGGCAACTGGATCTACTGACACCCTTGCTTTTGCTTGCCGCAAGCACTGCTTGCCACTTTTCTGTTGAGCGTTTGTCGTGTGTTGATGCTTCAGTTGTTGAGTCCGTTTGTCAGCAGGGGCCCGGTCGCCAAGCGCCACCCTTTGCCAAGCCAGCAGCCATCACCAAGACGCAAAGTAGTCTGGCCAATCTGACACCGTTGCAATGCAACTGCCTTTGGTGTAGTTTGTGAGGGTGGTTTCTGCAATTATTAGTTGGTGAATGGCACAGTTTGAGGCTGCCAGAGAAGCCCAAAGGTGGTCAACATGTGTAACTGCTGTGTGTCTTGATGACATTGATCCGCAAACACCCAACGACCAATCACGACACAACGCATGCTAGAGTAGCCACGAATGAGACAGCGGCTCGTGCTCAGGAACCGTATTATGTGCGCAAGCATACCGCAATCTCTGCCGCAAGAATTGGACACGGCACAAAGCAGTCTTCCGGCGCCTCCGCATTGGCTACGCATTTCCACTTTGTTCATGCCCGCACGCATTGGAAATACACACACGCATTCAGCCATTGGGAAGATTCCAAGCATTCGCATGCTATCTCCTCTTCTTCGAGAATGTGTGCAGACATGGATGTTGATTGTGGTTGGCCCGCGGCAGCGTCAGGAAAAGTCAGCCGCATTGCAACTGGGGCTCCCTACAGCTCTGTTGGCGGCCAGCCAAATCCCACCTTGGCAGGGAGGGTTACTTCTTTGTCTACTGCCTCTGACTGTAAGCTGGGCATGTCGCCACACAACTCTTATATCGAAGAACCCAAGGAGTGGCTCAGAATGGGTCTTCTGGGCGAACCTGCGATGGCTGAAGCCCACAGCGCTTCGGGCTAAATCCTGGCCTCGGCACCCTGGGCGCCACGCAAGTCCATGCGACTCTTGCACAACATCCGCCTGCAGCCAGGCATCGCGCACGCTCTTGGCGACCCAGAAATGATGCTTGCGAACCAGTGCTTCAGCTGGGTTTCATTCGGCCGCGCGATATGACGTTGCTGTAGAGGCTTCACTAGATTTCAAGGTTCAGCTTCGCGAACTGAGGGCTGACGGAGCCAAGCAGTGCTCTAAGTTAGTTCTTGTCAAGGTAGGCGCCTCCAGATTCAGACCAGGACTAAGACAACCTTGTGAGCTGTAGGCTTCAATCTCGAAAAAATGATGGGCAAGGTCCGCTGCAAGGGCCAGTCTGGTGCGACATTCACGCAGCCAAACTGCGAAAACTTGATGCTTGATAGAATTTATGCGAGTCTTGCTTCTTGCTGGTGAACATGGGACCAGGTTTTTCAGGAAACCCCTCCTGACATGATGTGGCAACAGTTTCACTTCCTACAGTATATTGCAGGCAGGCAGAAAGCAAGCCCACTCTCAGATATTGATCAATTGGTCCACCGCTCAATCGGAGTTTGCCACAAGTTCCGGCCTCACAAACGGTGAGGGAAGTCAAGAACCTGCGGCAGGTTGATTCCAACATCCATCTAGTGGCAGGCGCGACTCTCTCGCTGTTCGTTTCACAAAGGCTCCATCACTGGGCACAAGCAAAAGCGCACACAGTTTGTCAAACAATTCCCTGTCGGCATACATCCAACGCATTACTCCCCTGTGCTTACTCCATGGGTGCATCTTCATGCTCATAGTCCAACTCAAAATTGCTGGCCTCTCCGCGGCCGCAACATCCATCGGCATTCCTCGAAATGATGTCAATGCTGGGAATCTGAGAAGCATGAATGCATCATGCTCTACCCAGCAATGCTGAAGGCCCCTAGCGATAAACATCAATTCTCAAAATCTCCAAAAACTCTCGAAGTTTGTAGCCTGGACTCCGAGTGTTCAAACGCTTAGATTTTATGCATGTGTTCCAATGTGTATTTCGGGTCAGCTTTGCCTTCCTCCAACCAACATAAATTCATCTACCACCACCCGTAGTTGATACTTGCCTTTCCACCATTGAGGACGATTGAGGAGAACTCATAGCTCGAAAGCATGTTTGTGCAAGCGCTGGGAAGGTGCCTGAGAGCCTAGCGAGGTATGGGAATCCCAGTCGCTGCCCAGGATACCGTGCGCTTCCTCAGACATTCATGATGTCTGGACTTTAGACGCAAAAGCAGCCGAAAGGTTGGGGAAATTTGTGGCTCTCTCGCTTTCTCTCTGTCTCTCTCTCTCTCTCTCTCTCTCGCTTTTCTGTGCCGCACTGATGAATGACGTTCGCGAAATGTCCAACTCTGCAAATCCCACCTATTTTGCCTGTCCGCCTGTTTGGGGAAGGGAAATCGCACCATTGTCAGCAATGTGATGTATGCAGTATCTGGCGTTGCGTTGTGAACACAGCTTGTGTCTTTCCAAAAAGTGAGCCTCAGGCAGCTCTTCCTCCACATCCACTGGCGCAAGCCCGGTCTGTGACACCTTAGCTGCAGCAAACAACAACAGGAAGAAACAAACAAAAAACAACAAGCTGCAGCAAATCAAGCTGGGACTTGTGTTTGACCCTAGAATTCAGCGGTTGATTGTAGATTCCTCGGTATTGTTTTTGTCTGGGGAGCGCTTGCGTGATTTCGCAGCTTGGCGACTCCCACTTGGAAGTAATGCCAGACCAATCAACACAACTACATCATCACAACTGCGGCTTGCGGCTTCTGCCAAGCAGGGTGGTAGTCGAATTGCATCGAGGTGCCGTTTTTTGCACTCCATCAAGGCTCTTGGAGCGCTGGAGCACGATGCCACGCAGGGACTCCTACGAGCTGACTGGATTTCAGGCTCCCTGTCCACATGAAAATTGAGCATGTTTGGCCGAGTGCGTGGCTTGTCAAATGGGTATCTTTGCAGCTGCTGAACAAAGGGCAACTCATTGATGCAAAAACAAGAGGCTGACTGACTACAATGCGGAAGATTGAGGGGAGCCTCTTGACTGGCATTTCTGTTCGATTGGCATCTCGTCGCCCGAGTCCTCCCTCTCCAAAGACAGCAGCGGGAGCCCAGTGAGGAAACGCTCTGCTGCCAGCACGTCGAGCTTGAGAGCCATGGCCTGCCGTTGAAATTCGCGTGCTGTGCATTTCCGTGGAGTTTTCTGCAGGGGCAGCTCAAAAATGCAATCTGAACAACACAATGCTGAACACATACGCATCTATCCATTGATGCTTCAAGAAGTAAGGGCGAGCCCTTCCGACATAAAGCCGCACACGCTGGCTTGCCCAGAGCTTGTCGCGACAGGCTCATGAACGTTCGTGCTCTGCAGTGTCATTGTTTTTCCAGATCCCCAGAGCGCTTCTTACATTGCAGGCAAGGGCAAACTTGCAAAGACGACATGGCGGAACTACATCAAGGTCACATCGAAAAGCTGAAATGAATAAATGCAACTGTTACTAGCACACGATTCACACTTGTGGAACTTGCCTTTCTGAGAGCAACGATTGATACGAGTGCATGGGTGGCTCAGTTGAAACCCAGGCAGTAGTTCCCAGCTGGTGTTGGGTCTGGGGATTCATGATAACATTTCCTGTTGCATGGTATTGTTTTTGCCTGAAATGGGACTAATTGCACGTGGCTGTTTGGATTCTCCATAAGACTAGCTCTTAGCAATATTGATACACACACACAGACACACTGCACCATCTCCGAACGTTCGGATTGCTTTAATTCAAGGTGTGACAGAATTGTCCGATGGATCGAAGCAATCAACCCAAACAAAACTCGCGCCTTCAACTCCAAGCTTTGAACAGGGTACCGACGGGTACCGACACTAGGCGCATCCTTTGCTCCATCAAGGGACGGGTCGCCATCTATGTATGCGGTCTATGCGCTTTTCCATCCTGGCCTGTCAGATTGACTGACCCAGGAAATAGGAAGCTAGGTTCAACAGCAAACGTTGAATCAAGTGCCATAGGTCCATGCTGTCTGGTCTCTGAATCTGCCAAACAGCCCGCTTTCCATCTCTAACTGCAACTAGAAGGGGCTGGGAAGGAAACAACGCACCTTGACTTGCAGGAAGAATATTGAATCACGCACACCTCCAATCGTACTCCACTCTTTTGATTCCTGAGACAAGCATTGCAGCACATTCTTGCAGGAGGTGATCTGGCGAGTATATCTAGCCGCACATGCGATTGAGTCAATGCGCAGACTCTTCACAGCAGCGGGGAACGCTATGAAATGCTGGCGCATTCTGATTGCATGACGACTAAACCACAGAACGAGACTCGAGCATGCGTCATTCTCAATTTTTCGATCTCGCAAGTCATCCCGTCTTCCCTCTCCACCACAACCTAGGTGCATCCGTTGCCAGTGCCAAGCGCTGTCTCTCTCTCTCTCTCTCTCTCTCCCTAGCTCACAACAGGGAATTCAATCCATGCAGCTTGAAGTCCACATGACACAACTGCTGCTGATCTCACCAGCAAGATTCGGTAACTCACACAGGATGTCACTTTTCAACACACGAGGAGTTCATCCGCGCTCCTTTAGCAGCAGGCGCGAAGCGATCCCTCAGGCCTTCGAAGGAGACCTGCCGCCAGAAGGATGGGTCGTCTGCAGCTGTCAAAGCCAATGCCTTTGCTTGCTTGGTAGGGTAGATCCCGGTTCCCGTTCTCGAAAGGCGTCTGGGGGTGAGCATGTGTTCGCCAAACGCGTTGCCGTGTCTGCAAGCGTCCGCAAGCGTTAGCAAGCGCCAAGCGCTTGCAAGTAGCGAAAGTGACCGTGCCGCTGGGGAAGGCTCAGAATGCGATTTGTATACTTGCAAATTGCTTCGTTGCTTTGCCACGTCGTAGCTTTTGCGACATTGCGTGCCGCTTCACTGCGCAAGCAGTGTTTTGGACGGTTACACGTTTGAGGCGTGTGCAAGCGTTTGAGCGAGTGTCAGTTTTGTTGGTCCTGTCGGTTCATCGGCTCGCTTTTGCGAGCTGAAAGCGTGGCACCGCAGTCCCGTGCTAATTTCTGACAAGCGTCGTAAACGTGGCAAAGCTTGATTTCGTGGCAGGCGCAGTACTTTGTGCACTCCTTGCTTTGTCTGAAGCTCACTTTGCGTGACAGGCGCTGCACTTTGGAGCGCTGTGATCAAACTTCGTGCCAGGCGCAGCACTTTGGGTGGTCGCGCGCTGAATTTTGTGGCAGGCGCAGCACTTTGGAGCACGAGGCTCTGATTTGCGTGGCAGGCGCAGTACTTTGGCGGGTCACATGCTGATTTCGTGGCCGGCGCAATACTTTGTCGGGTCGCCTGTTGAATTTTGTGACAGCCACAGCTCTTTGGAGCACGACTCCCAGCAGAGTTTATAGATAAAAGATAGATACACAGATAACTATACAGATAGGAGAGAGGTAGATCAATAGATAGACAGACTGACAGACAGGGAGAGAGACAGATAAAACGAGAGATAGATGAAAGAAAGAAAGCAAGATAGATAAGGAAGAACGATAGATATATACAAAGATGAACATATAGATATATAGAAAGATGGATAGGACAGGACAGGACAGGACAAGACAGGATTGGCTGGATGGGAGAGATAGAAGAGAGGCAAACAGAAAGATGGGAAGTTAGAAAGAAATAAAGACAAATAGATGGATGGGTCGATAGATAGCTTGATTGACTGATTGATTGACTGAAATATAGATAAATCAGCTTAGGCTAGACTAGATGAGATAAGATTAGATAACATCAGATTCACAGATTAGGTTAGACAGAAATATCATAGGATTGCATAGGCATATACAGAGACAGATTAGATGGGGTTAATAGATCGATCGATCGAGATAGATAGATGAGATTGTTAGATGAGATTGATAGACTGGCAGAAGGAAGATATTGCTAGATAGAAAGCTAGGTTGGTAGATAGACAGATAGACAGATAGACAGATAGACAGATAGATAAACAGATAGACAGACAGACAGATAGACAGATGGATAGATAGATAGATAGATAGATAGATAGATAGATAGATACACAAATAGCTACATAGATGAAATTAGTAGAAGACAGAGATCGATAGATAGAAATATAGAAGGGTAGAAAGACAGCTGGACACATAGACAGATAGACAGATTGATCGATCGATAGATAGATGGATAGATAGATCGGTAGATAGATAGGTAGACAGGAGAGATAGCTAGACAAAGAGAGATAGATTAGAATAGATGGGACTCGGTTGGATTAGACAAATAGATATGTAAACAACACAATAGATGCATGGATGAATAGGCAGGCACATTCGGGTTTGTGGCTTCTATCAGGTTCTGGACCGATCAAAGACTATGTTGCGTCACAACTAGAGCTTGCTGAGCTTGCAATGCCAAGCTGCAAGCCTGTGAGATTGGTGTTGACAAGCGTGCTGCTGCATACTGATGGAGTTCAAGCACCGCATCTTTGAGACATTTTTTTGTGCTTGCAGGTTTGCTGTGTGACGTGTATGCTATTTTGCTGGCCCTAGTGATTGGCTGCATATTCATGTTAGAGAGATAGAGAGAGAGAGCGAGAGAGAAAGTGGGTCGATCTCCTTACCATGATTAGGCAACTCAGTGAGTTTGATACTGGCCAGACCTGTTGCTGGCAATGTATCAACAAAGCCAAGCATACACACAAATTCTTGCCACACTCGCTCGAGGCTGCGCTACACTTCCTGAATGGGACATGCTGGATGCCTCGATTGTTTTGAGTCACTTGCACACGAACATCCCTGACGCTAATGACACCAACCTGGGTCAAGAATGCAACAAGTACCCACAGCCCCAGCACCGCTTTCCCTGACGGTGTGGCAACTGACACAAATGAGCAGCCCACTAACGCTGGTGGTGCTTTCCGCATGCCATGCCGACTTGAATTCTACAATTAAAGTATGCATCTTGCTTTAACAATGTAATTACAAGCAACCAAAGGACACAAGGGTTGTCACACGCAGGCGCTAGCGGCGCTCTTGACATGCTCAAAGAAGTTTGCACTGTCTGCAATACCTTGCTGAGCGCATCGCATATTTCCAGTGGCCTTTGCTTGCTTGGAAAGACTCGCTTCTGATAAACCATTGCTCTTTCCCATCTTCTGTGAGACTATGCTTGAACTGGTGTGTCACGCCCATGTACTCCATACTCAATTCAAATGCTACCAACACCGGTTGAATAAGACTATAACATCAAATGTCACGCATCCGGCCTTCAACTACATGTGACAAACACGAGAGCGCGGTCCGCACGCCCAAGTTTTAGGTTCATCAGATTCCTTCATCTGAACATGCACTTTTCTGACGCAGGAGGTTGGAGGTTGCTCTGCCTCCTCATGTAATTTGAGTCAACCGGCGCGCAAATCCCGCACGAGGGGCCAAACCTCATGTCGTTGGAGTAAGAAAGGGAGCACATCGAGAAAGGCCAAGGCGCTGCCTCCTACCTGAACGCTGGTCCTTGTGTTTGCGGAGTCGCCAAGAAGTTGAACTAAGCCTTCATAAGACCACTCAAACACTCCAAGTTGTCTCTGCATCGTTGCCTCTGGGCGAGCATCGATATGGATGGAGACCGGGTGGCTTGGGCTCTGGTGCCCATCCTGTAGTACACATCATTCTGACGCAGTGCCGAGTCTGGAGGCCGCACTGTGAATGCAGCAGACTTTATCCTATGCTTCCTTTTTTTTTTTGCAAAGGTCAGTGTTGTATGTCAGCGCACAGCAGGCATGCGTTCAAGACTCTCTCCCTCTCTCTCTCTGATGCGACCCGCCAAGATCCAGTTGTCTCTCATCTCATCTCAGCTTCCTGCGTAGAAGTCGACTACATATCCTTGGGGAACGGATTATCACGCAGAAGCTGTCAGAAGTTCCAAGCATCTGTACAGCCTAGTTGCTTCACAACGACATCATATCACGAACAGTCACATTCCGGATGTATCTCTATATAAGAATGCATATCTGGGCTGTTTTAGTGGGTTAAATGGAAACCCCCACTAAACCTTAAAAACCCAAAAGCCTAAGGGGATGGCTAGGAACCGCCAATATATATATATATATAGCATTATAAGGATATATCGCTTAATGAGGACTGCATGTATCTTCACACAAAGTGCATCAGGACAATAATGCGATGGCCTGCAGAACTCAATGCAGCCACGGCTTCGCACTTGTGTGCCACATCGGTCTACATGCCAATCGTGACGGTCGAAAGGCGGACTTCGCCCAAAGAAGCTAGTCCAGCGAGCCTCGCCACGGTCCAACCCGAGTCATGATGCACAACTGCTACACAAAATGTGTTTGCGAATCAAACGACAATAACAACATTTTTTTAAAAAAAAAGCTGGCCACAAGCCCCAGGTGCCTTGGGAGTCAATTCTCCTGGCCGGCCCAGGAAGCGCAGGAGCTTCGGCTCAGCGCAGACCTCTCGTTGAAGGACAGTCACATTGGAGGCTATGGAGGCCGATGTTGAGGCCCAGACTCAAACCCCCGCCTCCTTCTTGGCCGCTCCATTCTTGTCAGAGCTGACCCGTCCAACGATTTTGAAGAAAGTTTGCTACTGCCTAACCACCTCTTAACATGCCAATTAACCAAGAGACTTCAGCTACTCGGGTCAAACCAAAAGATCCGGCCTCTTTGTGCAGGCTCTCGTACTTGAGAATCTCTTGCCATGTCTGCTCATTCACCGCGTTGTGGATCGCAATCACCATGCTCATGTCCTGTCATTCGTCCCGCCCATTTGACGGCAAACCGTGGCAGGACCAAAATAAGCATCACTGTAAGCTTTGTTGATGCGAATGACCTACAGCCTGCCAGATTGTCTTGACCCGGGTCAAACGCCCACGCCCCAATGAAAGAATGACGCGGGGAAATGGGAGGCAACACCACCTGATGACCTGATGGCGCCTGCGTCTCCAGGCGGTGGCCCTTGGCGGTGGCCGCACCGAAGAACTGCTTCTCTGAGGGGTAGAGGAAGGGCCTAGGGCAAAACTGTCAGGGACATCTCAGGGACATCTGCCTTTGGAGCACCCGAAAATGTGAGAGGAGAACGAGCTGAAGGGATTGAACAGAAGCTCGCCCTACAAACTGCACTCTAACCGTGATGATGCCAAACTAGTTCCGTGTGAGCATGACATTTGGGTGCCACACGAGCCATCTGCAGATGGGATTGTCGACCTGGCAATCTGCAAGCCACGCAAAAAGTCCAAGCTGAAGAAACAAATCCACCTCATGCATCAAATGAAATCCAACGACTCCCGCTGTAGTCTACAGTAGTTTGCAAAAGGATTGTTGAACGAGTCTACTGCTTCGCACACCCACGAACAGTTCCTTGCAATGGCATCACACGCAAGCTGGCGGCTGACACTTCCCGCTCGCTGCTGAGCGGATCTGCCGCCTGCGATCATCCATGGCCGACAAGAAGGGCTGTTCGTGAGGCTACCATGCTTGTCCCCTTCGCTCGTGCATATGTGCAGCGGTCTATATATCTATATTCTCTCTATGGATATGGGCAAATTAGAGTGCCCCTGGTGTTTGCGGGAAATAGAGAGTTAACCGTGTCCCATACAATACTAGATTTTTTTGACTGCCAAAATCAATCGGTTGCGCATGTTTGCTTGCAAGTGTGCACTTTGCATTTCAATCGCTGACGAATCTATTGAATAACCTGCAAGCACCTGGCGCTTGACACATGGCGTTGGCACTGTGGGATGCATTTACTTCGCCAGCAAACAACGCTTGCACCAAACATATTTAGAAACGGAGGAATGGAGGAATGGAGGAATTGAATGAGGCCATGTCTTCCCGGTTTCGAGGACAACTCCACTGTCACTTTGGACATTTGATATTGCTGAACGTATCATTCCTTCTTTTGCTGCCTCGACTTGCACACAATCAGATGTGCGCAGTTCAAGATGTGTCTTAATAGAAGTTGCCATGTGGAGGTTCCTGCAAAGCAACGGTTTATGCGCGACGTTGACGGTAAACACAGGATGTTCCCAATGCGTATGTTCACACACACATACATGTTGGGATTTGTCTGCATTATTCTTGAGGGTGGCACTGCTAAAGCTTGCCATCATGAACGAGGTTCCACCAACATACGCTTTGTGTTTGGCAAGCTGCCGAATATTGTACATTCCAAAGGATACCTGCGCTGAGATGCGTGATGAGCAACGCAAGGAATCCACAAAGCTTCTGCTAGAGCCTCCGCAGCACGAACCCTGGCAATGTGTGAATCACCCAGGCTGCAAGGGCCCTCGCACGTCAGCCAGTAAACCATACGTGACATGCATCAATAGTTGCCAAACGGCAAAAAGAGTACATTATTAGAGCAACGGTGGCTTTACCCTTCGGCCTTCTGCTCTACCTTCTTGCTTGTAGAGCCTGCGCCCGGCTGATGCAATCCATGGTGGCTGGAGGTTCTGGGTGGGCATAAATGGTAAAGTAGACTCAGCAAGCTTTGTAGTTTGCCTGGATTTTGGGCAGTGGAACGGCCGCAGGTGTTGACCTGTCCTGGGTTGGACACCCTGGCTGCCACATGTAGCAAAGGCTGCGCGCAGCAAGTCAAGTTGCTCAAACTGCGCAGGTTCTGCAGCAAGCTTTAGCACAGCCTGTTGCAGGTTCCGGCCTCAGCAGTGAACAGGTAAACGCATTGACAAAAACCTCTCGATGTATATACATCTAGCCTCCCGTGTGGCTTGCGGTAGCTGAATGCAACGCGCCAACAAGCATCCACACCACATGCCCTTCCCGGCTATGATCCACGGATCCAATGGAGCTAAGTCAACCTTGCTGCCCAAAATCACATGTCTCCAAGGAGCACTGCAGTTGACACGAGGCATGCTTGATGTCGAACATGGTTCTTGTTGGATGTGTAGGAGGGCTTCACGATACGCTTCAAGCTTCAATCGGACAGGTGGGGCCCGAGGCCCGAACGGTTTCTCCTGTCCATATCCCAAGGGGCAGGACATGTGCAAGAGGAACTATGCCAATGATGTGTTATGACCTGGAGAAGTCGGATCAAACCATGATGCTTGTTGTGCTTCTAGCAAGTGAGTACACTCGCCTGGTGCGTTCCAAGGCGTCCTGGTCTGACCCTGTCAATCATGCCTTGCGTGCGTGCTCTTAGGCAATTATGTTTGCATAGTCCACCTGATCCTGTTCCTACGTCTTCAAGCCTGAACGTCCATCATGCCCCAAAACTGCTTGTTGCTGAATCGACTCTTAGCCACAGCGAAACGTATTGGTTTGCTCTCAGGAAGCATTCTGCCTCCGCGGCCCTCATCCAAAAGTCTTCAGTGACTCAATGACCCAGTCTTGGCTATCTGCACTGCAAGTTCTGGCAACTCTTGTGATGTCAAGCTGCACACTCACTCAACCTTTTTAAAAGCACATACACGTTACACATCCTTCAGTTGCCCACACCGTTTCTACATACGCCTGCGAGTGGCAGCTCTTCTTTGTACAAAGTCACTTCTCTTTGCTCCAACTCAATTTTCAAGCATTGGGTCTCCAATACAATATGTTGGAGGCGGATTGTGCATTTGAGTTGGTCAGCTACAGCATCTTGTCACACCAGTCAGCTCACGCTTGCCATAGGCATTGCCCTTTGCTGCTGATGCAATTTCAGCTCGAGATCTGGGTCGTAGCCTTAGCAGGACCGTCGCTGACGTTGCCCGAAGTGGATAATTACAAGGATGATGACTGCCGAAAGCATTTCCCTTCCATATTTGGCTTCCCTGCACTGCTTTCTCTAGTATACTGCGTGGCCCTTTAGCATCTCTGGCAGCGGGTAATTATGCGACACCAGCCTGCAGTTAGTGCATGCCCGCGCTTGCAATGATCTTGGATGCAGGCCTAGCTTGAATGTATAATCAGAGAACACCCACACACACACACAGAAAAACACATACACGTTTAAGCATGTCATAATCCGGCCTTCCTACTCTAGGCTGCGTCAAGGTCCTGCAAACCATCTCTTTGTTCATATGAGTCAAGCCTTTATCAACAAACGCCTAAGCACCACTGAGGTCGTGCTCAAGATTTTGCCGTGGTCCGCTAGGCAGTCACACAATATGTCTTGAACTACAGTACCATTTTATGTTTGATATACCTCTCTCACACATAGTCCAAAATGCCCGCAGTCACTCTTGCCATTAACTGGCGCCAATACCCCTTTCTTGTCGCGCTCTCTGCGCTTTGCTCACATCTGCTCTGGCCAAGAGGCCCTCTTCATAGAGGCGCTTCACAGGCGCGAAGGCTCGCTTGAAGTTCCGGTCCTGCATGGGCACAAGCCCTGCGAGCGCGAGCCGCAAGCTGGCCCTATTTGGTCAATGAGAGAAGAATCTGGCTTGAATCCTACATTGAACCTTGCATGGGGCCCTCAAGGTGCAATCTTTCTTGTGGCAATCCAATTGCAAACTCGTGTGAATGCAAGGCTGCTTTGGGGGAAGTGAGCCAAGTGGAAGCGGGTGCGTCCTGCAGCAAACTCATTTTCAGAAATGCAACATGCTGTTGAAAGAAATCTCTACGACTTGGCAACCAGTCAAGCCATGCTGTGGAGTCCAGCAAATGTAATGCTTGGGTACATAATTTCCATCATCAGTGAGTGACAAGTGACAAGGGTGCTCCTGGTAAGGGGGGGGTCGACCAGATAATTCTTGTTGGAGCGTGTCATCTTTGCTTGATCGTATCAGGGCAACAGCAAAGGGCATCTTAGGTGTAAGGCTCCCTTGTGACAAAACCAACAATAGCGATGGAACTTGAAGCTTCAAGGAGGACACCATACACCCCCTCTGCACAGCATCCTTCCGCAGGGTCTTCAGGATGTGAGCCGCCAAGGGCGTCGAAGGAGTGTTGTTCTGCGACGCACATGTGATCGTGATGCCCAACCGTTTCTTTTTCCTGTGTTGTTCTTTTGGGCATTGCGGTTTTGAGTCTTCTGATTTGCAATTTCGGACAGGGCATGAGATCAGGGCGCAGCTCCAAGCACCTGTGCATGCAAATCAATCGGTGTTGGTAGGTAACGGCTGGGCTGAAACTTCCGATCATATGCCTCCTGACATCACGCTGCGGCTTCGCCACCAAGACGTGGCATTGACATTCACCGGTCTCAATCAAATTGCTCTGAAGACATGACCACGCGATCCAAGCTCCTCTTAGTTTCTCTTGGGCACAGCGATTCGGATGGGCAAGCCAAATGTCTTCACCATTCTGGGTAAAGAAGCAACGCCCACCAATTCAAAGGCTCAAGCGTTCTGTTTTTGGGCTATGGACAGTTTGGAGGTTCTGAGCAAGTTCCTAGGCTGATCCTTGTCCAACATCGGCCGTGCCTTCTCCAACCGCAAAAGCAACTGCATCATCTCCGCCTGGAAGCTGCATACTTTTTTAAAGACATCAGCTAGAGGCACAACACTGTTTCAAGACCCTTTCCCGAACATCGGCCCCTTAGGGATGCCACCCGATTCTGCAGATTCGAAAAACACGATGGCCCACTCACCTAGGTTGCATCCACCGCATTGGCCACTTCAGTCCAATCAACGTTGACTAACCACTCACCACTTGTGTCACACTGACAAGCCCCGGGAGTTCAGGCGAGGGCACGGTCAATGGCTTTGCACATTGGAGTCGATATTCATTTGCAGTTTTTCAAGAGGGAGCAATGCTGGCTCTCCCTGTCTAGCCCCGCAACAAACTCTTCTCAAACCACCTGGTGAATCTCATCTGCGTGCAAATGTGAGTGTTACTTGCTGAATTGCGCCTCGCGCAGGTTGTTGCTGAGAATATCAGGCCTGGCAATGCTGATTCAGACCTTCAAATGCAACACACACACACACACACACGCCCCCTGACTCTAGTTATCAGGCCTTTTCCCAACAATCAGTCAATGTAAGCACTGAGTGCTTCGTACCGGCCATCAAAACAAAATCGGCCATCAAAGCAAACCTGCCATAGAAGCAAGGCCACACTCTTCAATTCAGCCTTGCCCTGTAGGCATCTAGGATGCAACACATAGCCAAGGAAACATTTCAGGCATTCCGAATTGGCTGCATGCAGGGCCACACCTGCTCAGCGCAATGGCGTGGAAGACGTACATGATGTCCTTCCACCAGACTTGAGGCCAGGAGAGGGAAGCTGGTGGCAACGCAATATCGATATGCAGCTGCTGTCTGCTACGCTCTTTGTGTATATAGTGGGGGAGCGAATGGAGAAACCAAAGCAACAGCCAAAGTACTCAAACAACCTAGGTCCCAGAGTGTTCCTTCATCCGGCTTGACTCGATGACAGGGAACGCTTGCGAATCACACAGCAGAGCGCGCAGCACAGCACAAAGCAAGCAGGGGCAAGACCTGCAGTTACAGCATCACCGCTGTGGGGTGGTGGGAATCACCGAGCCCATTGCGCGCCAAAGCAGGGAAACTGCAGCTAGCAAGCTGTTGTTTGCAACGTGGGGCTAGTCGCAAAGAGAGAGCTGTGAGAGGTGGAGTTCCGTGGCTTGCCAGAACAGCGAGGAGCGCACGTACCCGCAACCACATGGCTTAAAACACACATAATTAACAATCAAATAAAAATAGGTAAATAAATAAATCGATGAATATACTTAGATATAAAGATGCCCGCCCAACCTCATGTCGAGGGGCCAAAACGCCTGCTCCAGCTGCCCCCAGTCCGCCTGAGCAGGGAAGCGGCCAGATCCTCGAGAAAGGGATCTCGCCCCCATCAATTTTGCCAAGCCCGGTCAAATTCCCTCTCAAAGCCAGTCCTCCAGTCAAATCCCCCTAGAAACCGGTCAAAGTCCCCTTAAAACCAGTCAAATTCCCCTCCAGAAACTGGAGGATATAAGTCAAAGCCAGCCAAAAGCGGACTGGCCGAGGCAGGCAACGCGAAGCATTTACAATTTTTATAGTATATTTGTACATGAATACACACCGTAGCGCGCGGATGCTGCTGATGAAGGGAGCGAGGATATTGTACTGGCTTCTGACAGCCAAGGCCACCGAACAAATTTGGGCTGCCCCAGTTGCCCAGGATGCAGTGGCTCTGTCATGCTCATAGTCTCTCTTGATGGTGTTGAAGACAAAGAAAAGAGACGATGCTGATGGAGAGGCGAATTTTCCTACAAATAGTAGCGATGCTGGAAACTGTTCGCATCTGGTATCATGCTGTGTAATGATGCTTCGATTGTTCCTGAAGCTGTTGTCGGACAGGCGTAGATGAAGGAGGAGGAAGTACAAAGGAGACAAACCCAGGTGGAAAGGAAGCAAACGCAGCGTTTAACATCGCACTTGTCCCAGAGCGAACGCATCTTGATTGGCTTTGCTAGTCAGGTCCTGGAAGGATTCGGAGCTGCTAATACCGTCATGCCAAAGCTGAACGCCCAGCTTGACGAGCTCCTCACATTGCGCTCACGCTACATGCAGCCAAGCGTGTGGACGTTTCATTCGTTCAAAGCAAAACAAACGTGAGTTGCGAGTTGTCATGTCTGATCATTTTTCGTTCAAACTTGGACAACATGGGACCCTGAAATCACGAAACCTCTGCGGGGCAGTCCTGTCCGTGACGCCCACTGAGAAAACGGTACATTGGATGAAATTGGGGCTCGGACGTCTATGGTATGCTACGCATGTAGCTTGGCAAGGCGTCTTGCCTCATCTTCTCTCACGGCGATTGTCTAGTCCCAGTCCAGCTGAGTCACAATCAACATTGAGTACCAAACACTATGGAAAAGTATCAAAAGCGTGGCCGCACCTTCTCTAGCTAGTCCCTTACGACCCTTCATCTGCCCGAGTTTTGATGGTGGCTCAGTTGTGCTTTTCGCACTACGCATAAGAGCTTTGACCCGGTTTTTGACACGATTCTGTAGGACGAGTCCAAACAACAAGAGTCACGGTGGGTTTTTAAGGGGCTGAATTAAGCCATATGTGTGCCTGCCTCAAGATGACCCAAGCATACCTCCACAATTGCTACAGTTGGACCGAAATCCATCCT